ATTAACAACTGTGACATGTAGTAGGGCAAAATATGACAGAACGCCGATTAAACCAAAAGTGATGTAATCAGATAGTTCACGTAGACATTTATATTAACAAAACACAGTTTCCTAACGTTCATTGACAAATTTTTAAACACGCTGTAATACTGTACTTGGATGATTCGAAGTCATATCACCATAATAGAAAAACTACTTCTATACTTTTTTTCACTAAAGGAAAGCCGTGAAAGTTTATAATGGACAACGAATTCAATTCAGTAAACATTAAAATTTTTAAACGAACAATCAGTCGAGGTACACTACACAGAACCAAACAGCCATACAGGCACGTCGATATTGAAAGTTTCACAGTTCTTTAGGCGAAAAGATGAGACTTTTAGAAATGGAAGAACCCAGACTTGACAAAAGCTTATAATGGTCAACAATTCTTCATTCAACTATAAATGCAAACCAGAATGCAGATTGAAAAGTAAGCAAATAAAAATTCAAAAACTTATAGAAAACAAAAACGTATAATTGATAATAGAAACAAAAAGAAACACTACAATCGAAACAAATGAAGAAGGATATGTTAAGAACTACAGATAGATAGATAGATAATATACATCCAACAAATATAAAAGACCAACTAATTTCAGGCACTCTGGACACTAATGTCTTCATACTAACGACATCACCACAGACAATTAAGGCTACTACTCATCGTAGAAAAATCGAAAACAACGAAGGATATACATACTAGGCGTAGAAAATAGACGCTTGGAGAAACAACTCATTTATTTCGATTTACTGTTAGTAAGCGTAAGTAAGTAATTGATCAATTGCAAAATAATATTGCATCATCCCGGTCCATATAATCAACGAAAATATTCTAACAAAGAAGAAATTATAAAATACGATATAGACATGTTCAAATTACAAAATATTAGGTAAGTAAAAGTTCGTTCGGTTTTTATTGATTTTTCAAAAGATTATAACTTTGTGTACATTTGTCCGATTTAAGTCAAATATCCGCCGTTTTGTTCGTAAACTTGTTGCCAATGAGATGCCAACTTCATTATACCCTCTCGTAGAAGACTGCGTCCCTATTGCCAAAAACTCGGAGAGCCAATTTCACAGGCTTCTTGAGGCCAACTTCTACCATTAAGCGCGTTTGCCATGGACAGGAAAAGATCAATCACTTGGTGCCAGGTCCGGACTATAAGGTGGGTGCATTAGAACCTCCCATCCGAGCTCCAGGAGCTTCTGGCGAGTCACCAAAGACGTGTGGGCCTGGCGTTGTCCTGATGGAACACATTCGGCCTCTATTGATCAAAGATGGCCTCTTCTGGATGAGTGCTGCTTCAAGCGGTCCAGTTGTTGCAGTAGAGGGCCGAATTGAGTTTGGCCATAGGGGAGCAGCTCGTAGTAGATGATTCCTTCCCATCCCACCAAACCACAGCAAAACCTTCCTGGCCACCATCTGGGCCGCTTCCCGAGCTTTGACCACGACCGTTTGCGCTCGATGTTGTCATAGTGACCCATTTTCATCGCCATCAAATCCGCATCAGAAACAGGTCGATTTTGTTGCGATTCTGCAGCGATTTGCAGATGGAATTCGGTCCATCATGTGTTTTGCGTTAATTCGTGTGACACCCAAACATCGAGCTCCTTTGAATCCAGGTTATACAAATGGTTCCAAACGGTTTTTATGGCTATCTTAGTTCCTCAGCAATTAAATAAGTGCTCACGTGACGGTCTGTTTCACTATTTCCATGATTTTATCGCATTTTCGACGACAGGCCTCCCGATGCGTGGTGCATCTTTGACATCGAATTACCGAACGGAACCTAGCAAATCACTTTGTGCTACACGTTCGTTTACAGTACCTGGGCCATAAACTAAATTAATTTTTCAACCGCTTTGGCTTTTTTTCGCCTTGACCGAAGAAAATTGTAAATATAGCAATTTTCTTTGCTGGTGTCCATCTTTGACGAGCGCTCACAATCAATCGAAAACTGTCAAAGACAAACTTTCAGCGCGAATAAACACGTTTTCAGCGCCGAAAGTAATGACATGATGCGACACGTACACTGGTACTATGATAAAAACCCGACCGAACTTTTTCACTTGACCTACAAATTGAAACATACATTCTGATGTGATTGAATTTTCCAGGTGGTATGTATGTATGCATATATGGCATATACTCATACATACACACAGAGACCTAATGCCCACAGTGCATATAATCAAATATCATTTTAATTCATATTTGGTTTTCCGTTATTGTTCATGTTTTTTTTTTCTAAATAAATCCAAAGAATATTTCATAAAAATGAAGTGTACAAAACCAGGCCTCTTAATTTAAACCAGCGAAGTGAAGTAGATTTCAGGGATATCAATACCATTTTATTTATTATATAATTTTTTTTTAAACTATCGAGTGGTTCGACTATCGATAGTTTTGCAAATCTAAAATCTAACTTATTCCAGTGTGAGAGCGCCTCAAAATTAGTATTTTTATAACATTTTCCATTGTAGACAGATCGGACAAAATAATAATTTTTAGGCATTTAAATTGAAACACCTAACATTTATTACGGTTAAAATTATTAATAATTGTTCGTTTAATATATAGAAACACATTAAGATATTTTTTTATGAATTTATTTATTATTATTATTATAAGTAATACTTTCAAATTTAAATTTTTAATCCCAAACACCTTGGATTAAAAAATGAAAATTTAATTTTTAATCCCGATGATGCGATTAAAACACTCGGACCTCTGTGTGTGTCGACCGTATTTTAAATTTTTGTTCAAAATCAAACGGAGCTCTGTACTACAATAGCGCCAAGTAAAAAAATTAAGATTTAAAGTAAACAAAACAATTGAAATGTTGCTAAGCCCATTTCTGGAAATCGATATTTTATATTACTTGGTTCTTGGTCTTTAATGTCCGTAGAGATAGACTAAAATTTTTTCTTTCCCTCCATAGGTAATAAAATATTTTTAGATTCTTTGCTGTAATAAGAAACTTGACTTCATTTTCCTACTTTATATTTATTATCTTTTAGCTGATTTAAGTTTTTTTGCATCAGCTGCTGAGTGTTCAACTCATCGCTGTTATGGGTTAAACACATACATGGTAGCGTCCTTATTCTGGTACATGGTTTCCTGAGCTTTTATTCTAGTACACATTGTGGTATTTAAACGTCAACACCTACCCGATCCAGTCAACTGTCAAAGTCGGGTGGGTGAGTTGCTCTCTCATTTCCAATGACAGCAGAGTTGGGCATCTCTTCATATCTGCTACCAAAGAAATGAAATACCAATTTTGGTCCGATCGCTTTGATTCGAGAGAGCGGGGCTAAAATCCGTATTTTATTATTTATTTATTTATTTATTTAAACGCAAATCGGCAATATACATAGATATAATAAAGAATTCAAGTATTATACAAAAGTAGCTAGAGTATATTAGTGTAATATCTGGAAAATATTCACATAATTGTAAGTTAATATGTAATTCAGACTTGATTTAGATGTGTTTCAGACGAGCAGGTGTCTCTTGGTGTTTCGGTAAAAGCAGCGTATGTTCCTCCATAGAAATCAATTTCACCTTGAAGTGAATTTACTAATTTAGCCAGTCTATTCTGAGGACCATGGATAACATAATTTTTCTTGGATTTCGATGTTTTTAGTAATCTATTTCGCCTCAGGGTAAGACCAGCAGGGGCGAGTTCAAAACTGTTTAGGATCTCATGAGCATCAGTGATGTTATTGACTAATTTGTAGAAAAAGCAGAGGTCAGCGACAGAATTTACGCTGCACCTTTTCAACTTTATCGATTGTCGTGTTAGTGTAGGGAGTGAAGCCAGGATTCCGAAATACATACAACGTCGTACTGGTTAGCCGCTAATGCTATTTGAAATGTTGAGAGTTTTGTACGCAGACCTCTGACGTTCTAGTAGCACAGGTGGACGTAAGATACTTTCTTCTTGCTCGTTGAGCGAACGAAAATTTCTTTTATTGATTCTTGGGACACCATGGATATATTTAATTGTGTTACTGTCATCACCACTCTTCACGATTGAATCAAGCTCTTGACGCAAATTTTTCAGATGAAGTTGTTAAGAGGGAGTTAGATCAGTCTTGAAAATAAAACCTGAGTTTTCGTCTGTTGGTCTGTATTTGATAATGGAAAGTGCATCGGCTGCTGAGCGGGTGGTAATGTAAAGAGGACGTGTACGTCCAGGTGTAGGACGACCCAGTCTACGTAACTTGAGTTCAGTGGCCTCATCCTTCAGACTGGGAGGCAAAGCTGTGGACTCAGGAATATTTAGGGCAATCACGTTGGTTTCACGGCGTTTTCGTTCCGACAGTTCATTGAAAAACTTCCTGGCTGGTAGGCAGCCTCATATCTACGTTTAGCTTGTCTTCAACTGATGTAAGTGTGTCATCCAGGGCAGAACATTGATTTGATAGCGTTTTGTTCTGACAGTTTGCTTACCTCTTTTCTTAAGTCCTTGATTTCACTTAGAACTGATTTTTTTAGGTCCCTGAACTCACGTTCAAAATGTCTCTTGAGTAAGGTTTTAATATCTTTTGACGGTGGCGGACCATCTGATGCATCCTCATCGGAATCCAATACATCACATGTCTTAACACTAATGTCACTTGCACATGAGTCACAGTTCCAAACTGTTTCTTTTTTCTTAATGCTGTTGGCGATGGATTTAAACTCATCGTTTGTAAGTACACGATACAGGAAAAAAAGATATAATGTTTGTTATGCTTTTTATTATTACACCTCACAATATTACGTCGCACACACCTTTCTTTGTTGTACGAAATTCAATTATGGTTCAATATCAAAATTTAATCGAACTTTTCTTTGTACATCCTTTATATTTTCTTATAAGAATTATTATTTCCTTTAAAAGGAAACTTATATGAGGCATTTATTTAATATTATTTCACTTTTATATATACGATTGATGTAATATTTTCAGATATTACGGAGCACGTTTCACTATGCACACTGCACATGTTTACAGCTACCTAACCAAAAAAAGAGTGAGAGAGAAGAGTTATAACATTTAATAGTAGTGCCACTGTGTGAAGGAATAAGTTTTGAGACTTCTATTGTATTTCTTGGGTTATTTTCGGTTTCCATACCACAGAAAAATATGCATAATCATATTCATAATGGAAACCGAAAAATACATTAGTTTTAGAAGCTAATATAACAAACTTATGTAATATTTCAAAACATTTGCATATTTAAAACAACCTAAACAAGAACCTTATTCGGAAGTAAACGTTTAAAAAACATTTGTGAGGAATTTTAATTAAAATATGCATACATATATACGTAGACATTTGATACTGAATGAATGTAATAATGGGTCAGAAAAAAACAATTTTCAGCGATGAAGCTCACTTTTGGTAGAACGGATACGTTAATAAACAAAAATGTCGTTTTTGGAGTGATGATTATCCACAAGCCATTGTTAAGACACCGTTACATCCTCAAACCGTCACTGTTTGGTGTGATCTATAGGCAGAGGGAATTGTTGATCCATATTTAAAAGAAAAAAATGAAGGCGGTCCAATTTATTGAAGGAAACTTGTAGTGAACGCATTATATCTCGCGTCGTGGTCCTGTGGCCCAATCGTTGTACTATTTTTTGTGTGGTATGGGTAAGTGAAGTCGTTTTTCTACACATATAAGCTCGAGACGATTTACGCCTTGGACGAGGATATTCCGCGCGTTATTGCTGACATATGGTCCCTATTGCTGCAAAAAGTGCTCGAAACTTAGGACACTCGGCTGGAATTTATTAGAGCCAGTCGGGGCAAAATCCTCTTTAAAACATAATGGCAAATTTGCTTATCTTAATAAGAATTTTTGGCCATAACAATAAAATATATGCGTTTTATTACTTCTTGAAAACCACATGTTTAAAAAAACACCCTTTACAAAAAAAAATCGTATTCTTTAATTTGTGAATTTTTGGACTTCAAACGTAGATTGCTTGAAAACGATAAATCTCCTGCGGATATTATGTATTCGGAAAACCTCCTCTATTCCCACATACCCATCTCCGAATTTAGGGGATGCTATACTAAAGTTTTTCCAACACAACTAACATAATTTATCACTTGTCAATATACAGTTTGTTTCCCTTTTGCCTTTAATATTTCTTTCAACATGTTTGGCATTGAGTATACTAACTTTTTTTTGTAACATCGGCCCCAATTTTTTTTTTCTATTCTTCCATTAAAACCTTTTATCGATTTTTTGGGTTGACATTCGGAAATTGTGTTTTAAAGATGTGGGGTTTAGATCTAAAATCTAAATAGCGAAAAATTTCGGTAGTATGTTTAACATCGTTATTCCGCTGAAAGTAATCATCGGATTTTATACGCAGTTTCTGTGCACAAAACTTCTTTCAATATGTCCCGATACACATATTTGTCCATTGTACTTTCTATAAACATGAGTTCCCCGACTACAGCAGACGACATACAACCCTACACCATCACCATGCGTAACAGTTGTCTGAATATGCTTTTTCATTTATAGCTGTATTCTCTCTCCTCCACACGCCCATCTGACGGGAAACGCAGATTGGCCCAAAATAGCTTTAAATCATAATTATACTTTTTCTGAACTCCCTACAAGCATCCTACTGGTTATTACCTAACTGCGCTGCCAGGCATTTCCGTTAAAGCTTCTATGAGTTTCTAAAGTCACAATTGACAATTTTGATCGAAATTCTTGTATACGTGTGATCGCTCATCTTACGCATAGCTTTCAGGATTTGGCAATGTTTACAGTTAGTGACAATAAAATAGAATCAAATAGATGGTTCCGAAACAATTAACAATCTATATTATTTGTCCGACAAAATTCGGATGCGTTTTGCCTGTAATCGATTCCTACAATATTTATCTCTTAAATTATTTTTTTTTATATATTATTATTTATTAAATATTTATCTCATTTTACTGTTATCTTTGTGTTCAAATTAAACTGAAGTGTGTATTTGTTGTCGTGACAAAAAAATAGAATCAAAGGTTTTAGAAAATTATGTTGCAAGTATATAATCTTTATGATATTTGTTAAAACTTGAAATTTGGTTACCATTAAGTATGGTATTATTTGCTATTTATTGCAAATAGTTGTGAATAAAAATTGATTAAATTTTATTTTCAGTACCTGTATATGCATCAATAAGGGTAATACTCTTGGTGAATTCACCGGTTAAATAACTGAGACAGCTACCGTATAAATCGGTTAGACGAAAACAAAATTACGTGTACACTTTCAGTTTAGCTTCGCAGCAATTACCACAATTTTGACCTTGACTGATATTTTCGGTAGAAGGTCAACTATAGGCACTGGGGTTCACATATTTAGTACTTAGGGGCTTGAACAGTTTTGGTTCGATTTAGACAATTTTTAGTCAGAAGGTGGAATACTTTAAACGTATTTTACTTTATTTTACTCCGATATAATCATTGTTGCTTGATATGCATGGTGGAAAGTGAAAGAATCAGATGGAATTGAAAATGGTGTTATACGGGAAATAGGCGTGATTGTAGTCCGATTTCGCCCATTTTCGCACTATGACATAGAAATATAAAAACACGTTATACACCGAATTTGATTGAAATCCCAAGATATGGGTTTTCACCTAAAGTGCCACACCCACTGCCTAATTTTGAACGCGGTTCCTATAAAGTTATCTCATACCATCCCAGAGATAAAATTTAATGTCTCTGGCGTGTTTCGTGCTTGATTTATCGCGCTTTTAGTAGTTTTTAACAGTACCGTTATATGGGGAGTGGGCGGAGTTGCCACCCGATTTCAACTATTTTCACACTGTAGGTAGAGGTTCTAAAAACATTTGCTTCCAGTGAATTTTGTTATTATAGCTTTAGCGGTTTAGGAGATATGCACATTAAACCTATTAGGGGCAAGACCACACCCACTTTAAAAAAAAATTTAACTGCAGATGCCCCTCCCTAATATGATCGTGTACCAAATAACAGTCTTGTATCTTATTGCGGAGCTTAGTTATGGCAATTTATTTGTTTTTGAGTAATGGCGTTTTGTGGGCTTGACAGTGTTTTGATTACGCCCATCTCCCGGTACCAAGAAACATGTCTACCAAGTTTCATAAAGATATCTCAATTTTTACTCAAGTTAGAGCTTGTACGGACGGACGGACAGACAGTCACCCGGATTTCAACTTGTCTCTTCATCCTGATCATTTATATATATTATATATAACCCTATATCTAACTCTATTAGTTTTAGGTGATACAAACAACCGTTAGGTGAAATAAACTATTATACTCTGTAGCAACAGGTTGCGAGCATTCATTGCACTATATCTAAGTTAATACATACTTATGTATGTACATTTATGTTACACATATTTCTGCAAGCTTAACAATAATTTAGTAAGTTTATAAACTTAAAATAGGAGTATTACTCTATCCTTGAAATAAGTTGCATATTCATTCGTGTATATAAAAGTCGTATATCCAAGATATTCTTTGAAAACTCCAGCATATCAGAGAAGATTCAATTACAGAACTAACCAGCGGCAGCAAAAGCAACATTAATTGCATGATTTGCATCAGATGTGGTGTGCTTTCCTGAAAGTCAATGAACAAAAATTAAATGAAAAGAGGGAATTTTAGCAAATAATACTCATATACCAACACAATCAATTTGCTATACGTAGTGCTCCAACAGTCGTGTAGATGAAACTTAAAGACTGTTAAGTCGCCTAGATACTGTAGAAGGGAAAACATTTCACATTGCGTGAATTTCGCTGTACTACAATATTTCCATTGTAGGATTGTGACGCTTGCACAGATTCAATAATCTTGGCACGAAAGTAAATTGCAAATTCAAAGCCAACAATCACTTTTTGCTATTTTAACACAACTGTCCACTATTTTGTTCTCAGTTTTATTATTAGGGGACTTAAAAATAGCAGAATTGAGCATTTTCAGTGTTAATTGAAAACAAAATGCTCATTCCAATGTTAAAAATGTACGCTTGCAGATTCGTTAATTTATAATGCGCAAACGACTCTGCATATATGTATTTAATTTATAGATAATCTGCTTGTCATCATATCGACGTAGATTTTTGCGAGCCACGGAAAAGTATTTTAGAATTGACAAATATTTTAAATCAACAAAAGTTATGTGGCCACTCTTGTCACTTTTTTCTGTGTTTTGCGGAGTTGCCACTCCCATTCTAGAGGGAACATCAGAAACTTGTGCAATTTATAATTTGTAGCTTTCTATCGTCTTGTTCGTACTTATGCAAGTATTCTCGGAAACAGCCCCGTCAAGAACTGCGTCATATAGAAGTCAGTTTCTCCGTGTTTTCTTTCCACCCGTGTTTGCACATTGCCAATTAACCGGTGTGTCTATTTCCCCTTGACTGATGCGTTCTGCCAATGTGAACTTCCTGCCCGCACTGTTGCTTTTTCGTAAATTCGCTTCAGTTAATGAGCCAATATATCTGGTGGCATTATTCCAGATATAATGTTGACGATTCTGATGGCATTCAGCCGGTATACTGATTTTGCCATTCTGGCGTATGATTTTTGGATAGGCCATTATTCTGTTTAAGGCCGCATTCACACGGGCGGCTTTTTCGCAAACTTTCTCGATATGTACTTTGAAACTTAGTCTCGCGTCTATTATTACACCCAGGTACTTCAACGATGTTTGTGTCGTGATGTTATGCCCATCTATGCTAAGAGAAATCGTCTCCAGTTTTTTCCTGCTTGAAATAAGCACTGCTTCAGTTTTTTGTTCAGCAAGTTGAAGTTTCGAGCTTGCAAGCCACTGCTTTATCCACTGTACTTTTTAGGCAAAGGCCACTTTATACTTTTTATGTCCTAATCCGGTTTGTTCGCCTTCTGCAGTAGTACGAGCCGTTCATTTGGAAACACATCTTCTCGCTAGCATCGTGAATATAACACCGCGAATGGCTTTGTGTTCAGTTTTATTGCGAGTTTCAAAGCCCAGTTCGGAATACCATCCAATCCTGGTGCTTTAAAATTTCCGAACCGCTCCACAGCTTGTAATACTTCCATATCATTGACCTCTGGTGCATCTGTGGCTTCTAGCTCTTCAAGGCGTAGAATTCCACATTCTTGGCTTTGTTTAGGAAACAGCGTTTCAACTACCTTTTGGAGTAATGAGGGACAGATAGGTGCTTCTCCTTTGCCATCCTCCAATGACATTACGATCTCATATGCTTCACCCTAGGGACTCTCGCCTACTTTGTCACATAAAGTTTTGAAGCAGAAATTTTTACTTTGTTTTATCCACTTTTTGAGCTCGCTTCGTTTTTCCTTGCAAATATCATGAAGTACCGTAAATTCCCCATTTCTTATGCCCGTTGAAATAGGCGCCGTGCTTTGTGACAATCGCTTTTCAGTATTTCGATTTCACTGTTCCACCAATATGCTGGCTTTCTCCGAGCAGTATGTTCCTTTTTGATTATATCGGCATCGCAGGCTTTAGTAATGTGATGAACCAAAAGTTTGGCTGGTCTACATCATTCGATTCGTTGAGGTTTTCGTCAAGCATAAAATGGAGCTCCTCGTTCAGTGTTTCGATCTTCCACTCTTTGGCCTGCACTTTTTGGTGGCAGACGCTTCTTCTTGGTCGTTCCATGTCCCTATTGATATTTATAATTATATCCAGGTTATCACTCTGGGTATATGTATCGCACACCCGCCAGTCTGTTAATCGAAATAAGGCTATGCTGGCAAAATATATATTAGTAATGTAGCCACGCCCATTATTCTCAAAACTATTTTGTGTCACTGTGTTCAACAGTACAACGTCAAGCACAGCGAAGGCATTAAGCAGCGTACTGCTTTTCTGGTTGGTGGCTTTCCTTCCCCATTCTAGAGCTCAGACATTAAAGTCCCCAGTAATTATGTTAGGTGTGATTGTTATTGCTTCTTTCACAACTCCGTCCAGCTTTTTTTTCATAATCAGCCTGCGATATAATTGGCGGTATCTAGCTGTAAAAATAAATCCGACATTACCTCGTGTGAAATAGGCATTTTGCATTTTTTTAACTTTAACTCCACATGCCCATATAGCGAACAGTGCAAAACGGTTTATTAGTACAAGTTTTTGCAAGGTGGCCCGCTTCTGCGCATTTAATACAGCACTGACTCCTGTCTTCCGTATTGTTGCATGCTTTCGTCACGTGTCCATATTCCAAGCATCTAAAACATTTCCTCAGTTGTGTCTTCTCTCTTATTCTGCATTATGCCCAGCCGTTCTCTATGTTTTGCGCCTGCAATAGATATTTTGACGTCTTTCTACTCATTTGGTTGGTATCACGTGGCTTTTTAGACGTTACTTCAACAACCGTTTGCTGGCTTGTTACGCTTCGATTAGACTCCCTTTGTCTAATACACATGCGTGGAACTTTGAGATAGAGCTCAGCAATTCTCTCATGGTATTGTATTGGATAATTTCTCCCCGTTAGGCTTGCCCTTTCTTTATATATCT